TATCCCCATTATACTGATGAGTCAAAAGTAACTTATGCAAGATCACTCGGCCACTAAGTGGCAGAGCCAGGGTTGAAGTCTGGCCTCTCACTTTGTGATCACTGTAGTGCCCAGGAGAAATCTCTTCTTGAAGGGTGGTCACTGAACAACTGATTCACGTTCTCACGGCATATGACCACTTACCAAAGGTGTGCTAAATCATTAAGTCATGAACCATTCCTCAAAATAGTATTTAAAATCATAAAATAGCTATAAAAAAACAAAAAACAAAAACAAAAAAGAAACCACACAAACGCCAGATGAAAACAACAGCATAATCTGATAGCCAACACAGAAAAGATTCATGAGGCTAATGAACCTTACTGAGGATTGGTGTCACTGGAATAGTACCAAGTGGGTGCAATCGGGTTTAGCAGACATGTTTAGAGCAAGGGAGAGAAGAATGAGTAGAAAGGTGTGCAGAAGAGTGTAGGTCATTCTGTTGGCCACGGGTATCAAAGGCTGTATTCTCTGGGAGGTACATACTGAGGCAAAGTTAGGAGAGCAAAAGGTTTGTTGGGGAGTAACACCTGAAAAAGAAAAGAGGGGAAGCAGGCCAGGGCAGGGGGAGCCCTCGGACTGTGAAGCAGACCCAACCAAGTGTCTGCCAGTCCAGCAGGGAGTTCCAGAGCCGCACTGGGTGGAAATGGCTGGGTCCTTGTATCTGGGCCTTGCTCAGAAACTGGCTGAAGGCCATGACTTTGGCTCAAAGACAGGCTTGAGCTAACCTTGAAGGTGCTGATAGCAGGGAGGCTGTCAGCTAAGCACACTCCTTGCAACTGAGTAGTAGTCTTTCTGTGCAAGATCTGAACAGAACCTCTTTGTGTCTACCATCCAAGTAAAATTTTTAGAGCTCTATTCTAGGAGAGATGGAAAACCACTGAGTAGTTTCAATCAGACACGATGGGATTTCATACATAGTTACATAAATATTTAATAATACCTATTGAATCATTCATGCAATAAACATTTGAGGGTCTGTCACGTTCCAGGTGCTGTTTAGGTGCTTGGGATACATGAGTGAACAAAACAAAGATTCTGCTTCAGTGGCGTTTATGCTATAGCCAGAGAGGGAGAGACAAACAGTACAACATAATAAGTACAGAGATGACACGCTATGTCGGACCTCTGCTCCTCAGTGTGCTCATGGGCCAGCAGTGTGGGCACACCCTAGGGATTTGCTAGAGATGCTGCCCCACCGCAGACCTAGTGAATTTGAATCTGCATTTTAACAACTCCAGATGATTCTTACGGGCCCCACCGGCAATTTTAAGACCATTTTTACACAATGTTAAGTGGGAGTAGGGGGAGGGGGAGACAGCTACAGTATTAAAAAGGGTAGTCGAGGTAGAGCTCATTGAAAAGGGAGAACTCTGGTAAACAGTATGAAGGAATGGAGTTAGCCAAGCATCTGGGTTGAGACGTTTCCAGGCAGAGGAACTAGCTTGAGCCAAGGCTCTAAGGCAAAGCATGCCTGGAGTGTCTGAGGAACAGCAAGATGGCCAGTTTGGTTGGAATGGAGTGGGCAAGGATGAAGAGTCGGTTCAGAAAGATAAAGGGGGAGTGGTTACTATGGCCAGTGTTGAGGGGCCTTATGGGACACAGCAAGGCCTTGGGTTTATTCTCTGAGTGACATGGGAGCTACTGCAGGAGTTTGAACAGACAAGTGACAGGACCTATGTTTCCAGAGGATCACTCTGGCTGTGAGAACAGATGGTAAAGGGACATGGGAAGAACCAGGGGAACCAACGGTACTGTCATAATCCAGACTGGGAGTTCAGAACTGGTTGGTTACAGAGTAGGTGGGAAATGGCTTGATTCTGGGTAAATTAGTAAATAGATATAACATGATCGCTTGATGGATTTGGCGTAGGATGTGAGAGAGAAAAGTGGAGGATAACTCCAAAGTTTCTGGCCTAATCAACTGAAGAGAAGTGTGATCTGAGGTGAGGAAGGCTGTGGGTGAACAGATTTTTAAGGGAGAAGATCAAGGAATAACCTGTGGCATGTGGAGGTTGAGATGTCCATCAGACACGCAAAAGATGTTGACTAGGCAGTTGCATACAAGTGTGGGGTTCAGGAAAGAAGTCTGCTAAAGATATCCATTTGGGAGCCATGATCAGCCATTCTACTATAAAGTCATGTAAGAATAGGGCTATATATACTGAACATTTGCCATGCCTGTAGATCTGCCTATTACACCATACATTTTGGTCAGATAATATAATCAATATGGAAGGATTGTGATGTGAACTTCTGTATATCTTTCCTGGGTTGTGATCTGAAATTTCAGGTAATTAGTAAATGCACTTTAAATACCGGTTTAAAAAAATTCTCAAAAATGCAAAACAAAAGGAAATCTATAAAAGCCAAAATAGAAAAACCCTGAAAATAAAAAATAACGGTCATCTAAAATCAACTGAATACTTTTAACTTAATTTCCACTGGCATATGGACAAAATTCATTGATGATTCCCTTCGAAAAAAGTTCTACTGAATAAACTACACAATAATGAATACATTTAAATTTAAATATAGTACAACTTAGGACAGTATAGCTTTTTGTGGAGCATAATAGCAGTTATTAACAGTAAGTACTTTATGCATAGATACTGAGTTAATCACGTGGCCATATATTATCTCATTTAATCTTCATTCCTATAAAGTTGTATCTATTTTATATTTGATGAGACTGAGACTCAAGAGGCTGAATATGTGACCTCACATGGTTAATAAGTGCTAGTGCAGAGATCAAATTCCAAGTCAAAGGCCACTACCTGCAAAATTCAAATAGCACAATTTAGATGTGAAATCTAAAGGAGAAAGTGATATTAATCTACTTTCAAATAAAGGACAGTATTTCTTTTAGAAAAGATTAAATGCTTCTAAGTACTTTCTACAGTCAACAGATCCTTTGCAAAATGGTTGCTGGAATATCGTCTCTTTTTTTTTTTTTTTTTTAATTTAACCCCCAGCCATGACTCATGCTTCTCATTAAGGTATGACTTTTCTTGCTGATTTCTAGACAAGCTGATACTGATGACTGAATCAAAAATGGGCAAGTAATTCAGTGTCAGTTATTTGTACTTTCAGATTTTATCTATCATCATGATTAGGTAAAATAATGTACTGTCAGTGACTTATTAAAAATTTATTTCATGTAACAAATTATATAATTTATTTTTATCTTTAAACAGTCTACACCGAAAACATTTTTGGAAACATCTTTTCCTTTTGGTAAAACAGGTTAGCAGGCTGACATCAGCTTCATATTCTCATGGCTAAAATCCCCCACAATTATACAGTTAAGCATAGCTTTTCTTTGTATTTCTCAAGTTGACACCAGTTGATAAAAAACAAAACAATATAAACATTTCTAGATTTTGCCTAAGGCCTTAGCTTTAACTGCAGAGTAGTGAGTAGGAAATTACAAACATATATTCATTAGCCTTAAACTTACCATCTTACATGTGCACATACCAAAAGCGCAAAAGGAAAGTAAAAAGTAAGGCACAAAAGGATGCAGTGAGTGTTAGGTCTGTCTCCTAAGATTGGCCATAAGAGACATTAACCAACATAATAGGACAGACAAGGAAAAAACTGACTAATAGAACTTTTTTCTTTAAAAGCTGTTAATAGTATATTCAATTATTATCAAATTATTCAGGTTATGAGACTTCTAAAATGACCAAATTTCTGTGTATGCAAAACTGGACTTTTTTTCAGTCACAAAATAAGGTTGGCCTCAAAAATGTAAAACATAACAAAATCATTTAAGGGTTTGGCAGAAGTTAGTACATCTCAGAAAGTGGGAAAAGGAAACCCAACTCTTACATGCACCAAATGTGTATGTATTCCAAAAACTTTCTCCGAGTATGACTCAGACTCACAAGAGTTTTACTGTTGTTGTTTTCAGCTGTTGGTTATTTTCCTCTGTGAAATATAACTCTCAGGATGAACTACTAATTCAACATTAAAGTAACATCAGCAGTAAACACAAATTATCTTTGTTTAAATTTTACTAAAATCTATGGAAGCCATAGACGTAGTCTAAAAATACAAGCACATTCTATAGCCCGGTCCTCAGTGACAGTTCTTATTATGAGGTGGTTAAAGACACAGAACCACAGTGAAGTGCTGATCATAATATTAGAAAAATTTAATTCATATTTAAATTTACCATTCTGTATATCAAGTGCCTATTGGCTGAACAGAACTGTATTCAATAATTCATATTCTGTAACTTCATTCAACTAATACAAAAAGCTAAATAGAAAGATTTACAGTTGAACACCAGGTTCCTAAGGCTGGCATCACATATCATTCCCTGATAGAGCGAGAATTCATCAGCAGAGGACCTAAGAACCAAACTGCGAGTTTGATTTAAAATTCCTTTCCTTGCCATGTATAAGTAACACATTGTGTAGTGACCAAAAGAATATTCTGTTACACAATTTTCTTTTTTCTTTTTTTTTTGAGACGGAGTCTCACTTTGTCGCCCAGGCTGGAGTGCAGTGGCGCAATCTCGGCTCACTGCAAGCTCCGCCTCCCGGGTTCACGCCATTCTCCTGCCTCAGCCTCCCGAGTAGCTGGGACTACAGGCGCCCGCCACTGCGCCCGGCTAATTTTTTTTTCTATTTTTAGTAGAGACGGGGTTTCACCATGGTCTCGATCTCCTGACCTTGTGATCCGCCCGCCTCGGCCTCCCAAAGTGCTGGGATTACAGGCGTGAGCCACCGCGCCCGGCTACACAATTTTCTTTTCTAGGCAGGCGCCACAGTCCAATGACTTTACAAACCTAACTCCAATATTTTACCTGATTGTTTTAATAAGGGTTGTTGGGTCGCAAAGACAGAAGAGGTTATCTTCGGCAATGACTGGTAATGTATCATCCACTGCCTTCGTCACAGAACAAAGATAACAAAGGCCAATTATGAGGCTTACCAATCAGTACTGGCAAATTATAATAAACACATCCTTTTTAATACTTATGTGTGGAAATAGAAGTGAGTGAAAATGACACTAGGATGGGGACAAAGGAAAGCCTGAATAGACAGAACTCTTCAAAAACTTGTGAATTTTATGCCCTCAGAGTCAAATTTTAAGCCAGGAGGAATAGAGCTAGAATTCCAAAACCACTGAGAAAGAAAGGGTTAATAATAAAAACCACAGCTGATTTTCTGCATCAGGAATGAAATGTTGTAACATATCTATCATTCACATGTGAGTTCATGTAATTTATCTTCAATTAGAATTATTATCTATTCAGCAGCTGAAGCCCAAGAACTGCTGATACACTGCAGATGAGAAAACATTTGCTACTCTCCCAGCTCCGGCCTTTCTTAAGCTAAGTGATGATCACAACAATATAGATCACTTGTTCTATAAAACAATTTTGGCTTACATGTACAGCAAGCTGTGCTGCCAGAATTTACATTTGCGACAACATTTCATCCCTTTTTTTGAATCTAGTGGTTGCAACTCTTCAGTTTTACGGGTCCTGCAATTTAGTCCTAAATTCTCATTAAAAATTTACACTTTTTAATCCAGCATTTATTCCCTTGAAATGAGTTACTATAGCTATGTAAATTTTTTAAAATGTTTGAACCCCAAAGATAAAATAAATACATTTTAAAATAATCTTTATGATATTCATAGTTAAATACTTCATCTCAAACTAGTCACTGACTTCCAAGGTGGTCAAGCCAGTGACCACAGGAGTCTACCTTACACATTAAAGGAAGTGGTGTCTGTCTGAGCTCATGTTTACAGTCCGGAACAATGTACAATGTCACCAAAATACCGGAAAATCCCTTTCTCATACATAGGTTACAAAGCCAAATCACTAAGAAAAATGCAGCCCAGAAGGCAACACAGCATTCTCTACCATAGCGTTTTTAAAAGTATGTTCAATGGGCTGTTAACAAATATTTCACTTTAAAAAAATGAGTTTCTCTTTGGATAAGGATATATTAAAACTGGTTATTTAGTGAAGGAATTCTTAGAGCCTTCTGTATGCCAACAGGCAGGTTTGCAAAGGCGGCTCCCAAAATTATTTGTCTGTAAACACTTTCTCCCCATGAGCATCTTCTAGGAACAGAAGCCACAGAGCTGGTTTTGAGAAACATGGCTTTGGCATGGTGGCATGTTTAGAAGCTTCAGTAAATCTTCAGGCTACGACATATCAGTCTATTTCTTAAATTAACAACAAAATTATTGTTAAAGCCAGTAAGTCTGGAATTTCAGACTCAGAAAAATGAGCACATGGGCGAGGAGGGGGGAACACACCTGTTTATTATACTATGTGATTTTTACCTTCCTAGCAAACGTATGTTCAAAAATACTCATGTTAGCTAATTTTGATGATGTCTGTGCACAACATCTGAACAAACTAACCAATATATGCAGGCTGCTTAAAGCAAAAACAGTAAGTGGAATAATGTTTTCCCTTACCCAAAAGGAAAAATGCACCAGTGCCATATAAAACAATTTATAATGACATGCTTGGAACCTGTGACCCTGGTTATCACTTAAGATTCTCCGTATAGTATAGTTCGATGACATTTATAAAGCTATCTTCTTTGAAGTACTACTGAAAGTTGCTATGGTAACCTTCTCTTTACTCAAGGAGTTTATCTACTTTAGAGGTGTATTTCTCAGCCTCAGCACTAATGACATTTTGGGCTGGATAATTCTTTGTTGTGGAGAGTTGTGCGGTGCATTGTAGGATGTTGAGCAGCACCCTGGCCTCTATCCTCTAGATATTAACAGCAACCCACCAGTTGTGACAACCAAAAATGTCTGCAGATGCTGTTCAGATAAGCGAATCAACCCCAGTTGAGAGCCATTGCTTTTGGGTCAAAATGGAAGTTTATACCTTGAATCTGCTTCCCTGGGGAATGTCCATTTTACAGGCACACTGTGACTTACACATCTCAACAAACAACTAGTAACTAGTGGCATAAGGAATCTTTCTCAATTCTGTGTGATCAGAAAAGGTAAAGAATGGTTAGGAGCAAGCACTCTACATTTCAAAGAGAATTGAAGGTAATTTTACTGTCGTTACACTAGTAAAAATTATCTGAGTCATGATGCTTACTTGACAGATATTCTAACAATTAGAAAAATGCTAGTTGTATATTATAACCTGTTAAGGATCACAAGGATTGATGCAGTCTAAGAATGGGAAACTTAACAATCATCAATGGCTGGTTCAGACCACAGTCTACTCCTTGACTGAATATTCTCCATGAAATTCTCCAATTCAAAAATCTCAAGTCTTATCTTTAAACTGCTTGCTTGTACTACAGCCTTTATCATTTCTTTCAAATACACCTTTGCATGTGTATTTGCAAAGATCAAGAAGAAACCCTTCGCATGTCATGAAGAAGCATCCTGGTATGTGTCAAGAAGTACATTATCTGGTTTTAAAGCCATTTCTTCAATATCTACATCTTCAGTTTTGTCATAATTGTCATCACTCTCTTTACTTTGTTCTTTTCTTACTGCCTTTAAACACTTGTCAAGTCTCTTTCTGAACAGGTCCACATCCTGCATCTTCATTCCGATGGCTGATGCAGCATTTAGGTAAGCACAAGGGTAATTATTTGTATGTGACATAAAGCCTCTGAAAGTATAGCCACTCACAGTTTGCACAGACCCAAGAGGCACAACCCTGAAAGAAGAAAGATTTACCAATTTAATATGTCTGGTAATGGTAACACAATGTCACCCATAAACAAAAGATATGTGTTACAAAGTCTTACATCCACTTATTAAGAAGTTTAAAACAGCCATAAATCATGGCCTACGAAAATAGACTGTATCAACTTTAAAATGAAATTCTATAACACACTGCTTTTTTACATAGAAAAGTCCTGCCTATCGTTTACTTATCTGATTATCGTTTACTTATCTTCTATTAAAGACCTATAAGCTCTAGGAATCTCTTTTTATTTTATTTTTGCCAGTATATTTTTCTCTTTACCTGAAGCTCTAGGAATCTTAAACACCTCTACATCTTTAAAGAGGTAAAAAGAAAATGATTTGGTTTTGTGTCAAATCTGGAATATGACTTCATATATACACCCTTTACTGAAATATTGAAATTTGCAAGTCAAACCACTGTAATTGTCATGTGTTACCTCAAATAATCAACAAACTAAAAGTCTAACTATCCGATCAGTGCTATGCAATGGAAAGTTTTAAAGCAAAGATACAGAAGAAGTTATGTAACTGTTTATAGTGGGGTGGTGGTCAGCAAACAGTAATATTCAGGAAAGGCACTTGCATTTTCAAAGCTTGATTTCACTGGCATATTAGATATAAGCAGATTTCTAATACTCTAATCATTTAGCTATTTTTTAAAGAAGTCAATGAGGCTCAACTTAAACATAAAGACAGTGGCAATACTAAAAGCAATGTCAAGAAATCCATTTTAAAAGTGTCAAAACTATATTGTATACAGATAAGAGTTCATCAAGGTAAAAAATTAATCTAAGATTTTACTTTTAAAAAGTTGTACTGTGATATAAAATCTCTATCCTCTGGTAGCTACAGAAAAATTCTTTAATAGAAGCATGTAAAGTATTTACAGCAAGATATTTTCAAGTCATTTTTCTCTGACCTCATCAAATCTAAAATGAAAAACGAAATTCATTTTTCAGGCCATGTATACAGAAGAGGAAAAAGTACAATTTTCTGAGGCAGTTACATAGGCAAGGATTGCATACTCTTTTTTTTTTTTTAGTTTAGGAAGAAGGCTTTTCCTTAACAACACTTTCACTTCAATTTAGTGATGAAGATGACTTATTTCTAATACCATAACGTGACTTGCCGAAGATCATCTAACAAAGGAAATAAAGACAAAAAATCTATATAGAGAGGTAATAAAACTTTGTTTCTGTACATCTATGAAAACAAACAAGATTCATGTCTTTTTGTGACTATTTCAGGCATAAGCAGTCAACAGGTGGGCATACAGTAGCCTTACAGATTCTCTAACTCATCATTCTTTACTCCATGATGAATTCGCAGGTATAGTTCAGCATATACTTGGGGGACTACTGTTGAGGAAAGGTATTTTATTGGAGTTAACTTTGAAAAGCCAAATAAACCCACATCTATTTTAAACATACTTACCTGGCTCCAGAAACCTGTCTGGTAAAAAGCATCGAGCCGAGCTGAGTGACAGCTTCGTCATGGTGTTCATCTAGTGTTTTAAGTGTCATAGCTGAAAAAGAAAAAAGTACCCTAATAAGCGTTGGTTTACTGGCATAAAAATCATTCAAATAATAACAATAATAATGATGAAGACATTACTTTTGATTCATTGTCAAGTGGCACAATTTCACTGTAACGTACTTAATAAATCATAGGGATTTCTTTATATATCAGACAAAAATATTTTAATGTAAATTAACATCTCAGAATATGAAACAGAATTTCCATATCATCCTTCAGGAGAGTAAATTTTTCCAACTAAAGAGATGGAACAATAACACGATCAGTATGGCTGTTTATTCAAATTCAACCAAGTTTTAAAAACTTGTAAAGTGAGGATGTGGGATATATTTCAGTACATATACAAAACTAAGTAAGATCAAATTCTGCATATAGAAATGGAATTGATCGTTCTGAGGCTGTGTGGGTAAACTGGATTGCATACATAGCACCGCTCGTAGCTACCATTTACTAAGGACTCACCATACTAGATGCTTCACAAACAATCTCAATCAATCATTAAACAATTTTGCATGTGAGGGAAAAGGAGGTCAGAGGCTAGTACATGGAAGATTCGGAATTCAAGCTACACAATATCACCTTCTATAACATCTAAATAGATCATATATCAGCAAAGGACTAATTGGGGTGGTTTTTATTATATATTGGTGTTCAAATGGTATTCCACAGAAGCCCATTCCTAAAAAAGGCTTCGGCTACAAATGATTCACTTTCCTTTCTTCAGATATCTGTGAAATATGAAACATTATATTACATATATTCACAATTTAAAAGGGGGTAATTATGAAGCTTAAAAGATAATTAAGTTCATAAAAGTCAATATTACATTATTGTTTTTAGTAACCCCTATATTACATGACAAAAACATAGTCCTTATATACACAAATGAAAATACCATAAATACAAATTTCTTTAACATCCATAGGCTAAAGAAAACAAGCAATAATGACATTAAAAACAACATAAGATTTAATTTCTGGTATGTTGGGGTTCTGTTAACTGGAGAAAGTTTTGTTTATTTGTTTGGTTTAAATAATAGAGACAAGGTCTCACTATGTCGCCCAGGCTGGTTTTGAGCTCCTGAGCTTAAGTGATCTCCCGCCTCAGCCTCCCAAAGTGCTAAGATTACAGGCACGGGCCACCACACCCGACCTGGAGAAAGCTTTAATTATTTATAAATAGAGTTCTGGTTAGAAACAGGACTTTAAGTATTATTTTCTGCATTTTCATTATAATACTTAATATTGACTCTGATTTTCTCAGTGTATAGGCTTTATCTTAGAAATATATTAAAATATTTCAAAAGCCTAACTAAACTTTTTAATTTACAAATTAAAATACTGTGATGAATTTAGAAATATCATTATAACTAGAAAGAGTGTTCTCTCTTTCTAGAAGTACCAGCTTCCTCCTAGAGATGGATCATAAGTATTTGTTTTTCTTTAGGAAAAAAGAAATTACCTAAAGATATGGGATTGTGAGGTGTATGCAACAGTCTTTCATTGTAGGCTTCTGACAACTTCTTTATTTGGTTGGACAAATATGAAAACATTTCCTGCAACAATAAAATGTCACATTTAAAACAAATCAAATATCTACTGCCAGATTTAATAAGACAAAAATCTGATTGGTATGAAGTCTACATTGTAAATGAACCCACCCATGTGCCTTAACACCAATTCTCTCCTTTGCCACAACACAGTGAAATTCAAAGCTGCTACAACTATCAGAAGCCACAGGATTTTAGTAAAGGCAAAGAACCAGCACACTTTCTCCCTTCACTAGTACGTATCTATCACAAATCCATCTTCTTCTCAGAACTTCCAGATCTACCACTCTGGAACTCGTAGCTATCAACCTCTTCCCTGGACACAGCAATAGATTCTAAACGATTTTTCTGCCTGTTCTCCACCGTTCTATAATCTGTTCTATACTCAGAGACTAGAGAGGTCTTTCAAAAGCATACCAGTTCATGCCTCTCCCCTGATGACTTCCTCCAGTAACTATTAGAAAACCACACTCTTCATTTCTAAGGCCCCACATAATGTGACCCAGCCAATATACTCAACCTAGTGACTATCATTTCCCCTAGTCTCTACACACCAGTCACATTAGCCTCCTTTCCAATCATTCTAGTGTTCAAACCTTTGTGCTTGCTTTCCCTGAATTTCCCAGATCATTCCCCAAGTGGTCCCTCTTGTCAAATGATAAAGACACCTGCCTTTGTTAACTTCCCTATTAAAGCAGCTTTCCAACTCTGCCAATCTCCTTCCCAATCCCAATCTCCTTCCAACATATTACCTATTTTGGTTCCTTCACTATACTTGCCACAATCTGAAATTATCTAATGTATTTGCTTAAATCAGTATTGCCTATTACTATGTATTACCGGGGAAAAACTCCTCAACCACAAGGACTTCGTCTTCTTCATCACCGTTGCCCCAACACCAAGAAAAATGTGCCAGACTTTAGTACACAAGTTATTTAGGAAAAGGTAGTTTATAAATGTATTTCCTTTAAATCGCACAACATTAAAGTGAACAATTCCCTTACTTCAATTAAAAGAATACAGCAACTCCCATAGTCCAAGCTTGAGCCCAGGAGGTCAACACCAGCCTGGGTAACAAAACAAAAACAAAAGGCAACTAAAACTAAAAATTGTCCCACTCTGAAAAATAAAATATATTCAATAGTAGAAAATATAATAAAAATATACTTTACAAGTATCAAATGTCACATGTATATAAGTGGCAGTTTAACAGTTACAAGTAAATATTAAGTTGGCAACTATTTGACCTAAAATTTTACTTTCTTCTCCTCACAAGACCTTTAAAAAGTGTGAAATCAGTATCTGCCCAACTACATCTGCAGCTAAACAAACCCATTTGCACTGAGCTCCTCTAATCACAGACAAAACATATAAACTCTAAGGATACACCAAACAGCCAGGGGCTAACAGAGTGCCCAAGCAGAGACAGCAAGAAATGACACTTCTCCAACCTCAAAGGTCAAGATACTCTGATCCCACACTGAGTCCCAGAGGAATTTTTTCATGTCTGAAGCACACAGATGATTAACTCCATCTTTTGTTAGATAAAGATTAAGAGGAAAACTCCTACCAGGTTTATGAATTATTAATGAGACTACTTAAGACCACAAACAGTTTCACTTCTGTCAACTCAGTACATATATTTTATATTCTCACCTAAAATTTTTGAATAATCATTTTTAAATTTTAGGATACTTTGTAATATTAATTCTCAGAATGTTGGAATTACAAAAATCTTAGATCACTAAAATAAATTCATTCCTTTTATATTCAAAAAGTTAACATCTACAGTGGCCATACTTAAAGAAGCTATTAATAAATGTTACTGTTACATGAGATAAGCCTTTCTCTTTTGTTATTTAAAGTACAGAGAAATATTTAAGGAGACAAATGGCATGATTTCCAGAAACAAACAAAAAAGCATCTTTCCTTAGACATATAAAAATATCCTGGGCTGAATGTGGTGGCTCACACCTGTAATCCCAGCATTTTTGGGAGGCTGAGGCCGGTGGATCACTTGAGGTCAGGAGTTCAAGACCAGCCTGGCCAACATGGTGAAACCCCTTATCTACTGAAAATACAAAATTAGCCAGGCATGGTGGTGTCAGCCTGTAATCCCAGCTACTCAGGAGGCTGAGGCATGAGATTCACTTGAGCCCGGGAGGCAGAGGTTGCAGTGAGCCAAGATTGCGCCAGCTTCACCATGTTGGTCAGGCTGGTCTCGAACTCCTGACCTCAGGTGATCCACCTGCCTTAGCCTCCCAAAGTGCTGGGATTACATCCGGCCCTCGTCCCTCCTTCTTAACCCAATATTCCCATACTACAAAAGGCGAAACAATAAGATAATCAAATGGAACAAATTTTATAATCAAATGGAAGATAATCAAATGGAACAGTTTTTCCAGCAATCAGAACAATTCATAATTTTTTAGTAACACACCAGGGTTAATAAAGAGGAGAATTCCTGGGTTTCATCCATACATTTTCATCTCCTATAAAGTAATTAGGTTACTAATTTAAATGCTATTTTTTTAAAGCAGTCACATATTTTCATTTAGATATTAAATGCTGATTTTTCTTCACTTATATTATTCACCAAAGTCTTAAACGGCCTCCCTCTTTCCAATTTACTCTGAAATTCATCAAACTCCCAAAGGCACAAACAAACCTCATAGGCAGGAAATGCCTTTTACAGAGCCCTACCCCCTACAAACCACCTAACAACAACATAACCCACACCCATCCTTCATTTATCCTCAAGCATATATTCATGAAGCAAAATTTTCTCCAGTTTACATATTTCAGTGGTGAAGACAATTTAAAATATTATTCTATCTACTTTGGCAGCCACATTAAATACCAATGTGGTCACATCTGTGAATAAGCTGAACCTGATGAGTACTTAATTTATACTCAGGTTAGCTATTTCTGAAAAAAGAGAGAATGTTTCCTAAGCAACACCCCTAGAGGGGGTGCTTTTAAACTTACTGATGCATACATGGCTATTAAAAAGTGAATTTGCCCAATGTTCAACTTCTAATACTGTAACAAATTAGTTTTTACCAGATCTATCAATCACTTGCTAATGCCACTAGAATTCCATTTGAACTGTAGGTAATATTAGGATACTATTTTTAGACTACGAAGATAACACTAAAGTAATTAAATCTTATATCACTAGCATGGGAGTAATTAGATATAAAAAAATTTGAAGCAAGTTCACATCCATCAACAAATATTTATAATATATTTACTCTGTGTAAAGGGTTATAAGTAAACCAATAAGCAAATATGTTTTAAATATCTTAAAGCACAATATGCTAAATTCTATAATATTCCAAATGTTAAGCTCCTAAATGCTCTCCTATTAATATTACTACATTTTAAAAATATCATTTAGGAGACTATTCCACTATTCTACACTAATACTTAGCTAAGCAGTTTTTTACCTGATATATTAAAGCTACTACAGAACCTGTACTATTTTTTGCTACAGTTAAATCTATAACTGACATTTATTATAAAATACTTCTGTAAAGAAAGAAATTTATAAGCAACCCAAGCAAATGTATATAGAAAGATCTTACTTAAAAGAAATGAAATATTATTGATTTTCCATGTTCTCTGTACTGTATTTAACTTAATTTTAAGAGACTTTTCACTAGAGATAAACTGAACTGTATACCTGAATGCTAATGTCAGCTATATTTCTAGAATAAAAATACAAAACTTTACACCATAGTTCAAGATGTTAATGGAAGAGAAGCTGAATGATATTAAGCATTATCTTTCATATGGCCTTTTGCAAATTGATTTGCAGTCATGAAATTCGACATTTAGCCTGTCTCTCCCAGAATCCAAAGATATGCATAATTCACTAAATTTTAAGTGAAACGGTCTTATGTAATCATGTCTTTGAAAACATACTGTTTCAAGTTATAGGATAAAATAAAGATGGAACCTCACATATTATTACAATGTATTTCACAAGGCAGGTAACAAACCAAAATAAACATACCCACTAGTCTACTATTTCAAAGATAACATGAATGAATGGATGGATGGATGACTGACAGTAGGTAAATACTGAAGCAGACAGATGTCCATACTGGAGGAAAACAGTACCTAAATATGACATGCTGCTGTCCCTGACTGTGGTCAGCTAAAAGGATCCAGGCACACTTGGCAAATCTTGCTTCAGAGGCTACACCCATTTGCATTCAAGTTGTTAAGGCCCCATATGTAGGCCTGAAATCAGATGCTTCTGCAGAGATTGAACCACTCCACTTACAGGGCTGCAGATCTAGTAGTGTTTCCAAACTTAGCTCTGCTATAAGGACACTGAAGTGTATAACGTTCTTTTAAAACTTAGTTTGTCCCCCAGTTTTTAGCTCACAAATTCTAGCCACCGAGCAGCCATAGTGCTGTTATTCTTCTTCCACTTATCCAATTTAGCAGATATTTGCAACAACAAACGATTACCTGCCTTCCCTGTTCAGCAAAGCACTCTTCTAAAAGGAAAGCTAAATGGAATAATGATCTTCTCCAGAAGTGAAACAGAAGTGAGGATAAACTTCTAAGACCATAGACTTTCTTTCTGCATAGACAAACTAAAAGATAACAGCCTTACATTTTAAACCCTTTTTTTAAAAGGGGTTAAATTCATGGTTATTTCTCCCCTCAATGAAGCAAATGTGTTGATCAGGAAGGGGATAAGGGCAAAGAGGCTCAATTCACACACAGAGCTCCACTCTCTCTGATCCTTTCACCCTTCAAAAAAGAAAGCTTAAGAAGGAATGGCTTCAAGCTGAGTTCTTGTCTGCCACTACTGTGAAAAAGAAAAAGCCTTTTCTGAAGAGATAAAGCTAGATGAAATAACCTCTAAAAATATCATTGTGGTGAATAAGGGCATAGAATGAAAAAAATCCTAAGTTTTCTACTAACATTCCTTTTTTTAGTACACAATAACACCAATAATATAAAAAGGAACTCTCAGTGATGGTATA